CTTGGCTCACCCTTCCAAACAGAGAAACATCAGTCCTTGGCGGCCCAGTCTGATTTTCTGGGGCTGATCCACGACGAGCCTGCCACCAGGGTGCTCCTGTCAAGTTCTGGGTCCGTGACCGATTGCTTACCAAGGTCACCGACATCATGGAGGAGGCCACTCAGACGCGTCGCCTCCCTCCAGCCTGGCGGCCAAACTTTTTGGCTGCCTGGGATTCTTGACCACGGGATGCTTCGGCAAGCTCGGCCGGTCGGGCCTCCATAGCATCAAGGAAAGACAATACTCCTCGCAAGTCGTGATGACACCGGAGATTGAACAGTCCTTTGATCGAATTTGAGCACTACTTCAGTTGAAGCCCGAAAGAGAACTACCGCTTAATCCAGTGCGACAACACCGGTACTTGGCTGCATCCGATGCGGCGCAAGAGAGGCCTGGCGAGGGTTCTGCGGGAGTCTTGTTCATTGACCCCCGTGGTAGTCGAAGGGCCTATGTCGTCCACATCAGCCCAAAGATCTTCACGGTGTGGCCCCATCATGAGGCCAAGATTGCACAGCTTGAGCTCTTGACAGTCTACATGGGCCTTGCATACAATGCTTCATCAGCTCGTGGAATGCATGGTATATGGTTTGTTGACAATATCGCAGCACTCATGGCCCTCATACGAGGCCGCAGCAACAACGATGAGCTGGATTCTATGGCCGGGGCTATCCATGGCCTTCTGTTTGCACTCCGTAGTGCATGCTACTTTGAATGGGTCCAGAGTAAGGACAACTGGTCAGATGGCATCAGCAGACAGGGAGAACACGACCCGTGGTTCCAACGACATGACTTTCGCCTCTTCCACACCTACCCCTTGCTCACGCTCCTCCAGCTGCCCTACCACCTCATCGCTCAGGTCTTTCAGTTCGTTTGAGTGCTTTTGGATACGTTAGTGCCTTGGATGGAGTGCTCCCACAGGGAGAGTGTCAGATGTCAGATGACACAAGCGACGTGGGTCGCATTTCAAACCAAAGCACTTCAGTACAGACAGTACAGACCTGAATCGATTCGCAGAAAAGGGTAGCAGCAGTCGACATATGTTGATCGAGATTCATCGAATATATTCAATCATTTAAGGTAGGCAGGGTCGGTGATGATGAATTATTTGGGAAGCTTCGAATCAACGTCTCGCAATGTTTGAACGCTCAAGCCAAACTGGGGAGACGCCCCTTGAGGAGCAGTGTCGCTGCTGGTACCTCAAGTTAAACTTTTTCTCCCACCCTGCCACACCCTGTTAGTTACATCCATGTCCACCTGGTGCTGGTCGAGCTGGTGGCTGACTTGGCTTGTCGCCGGAAGAGTCTGGTTTCCTGGTGATAGCCACTTCACCTGTGGCCTTGCTGGCGCTTGAGGGCCGTGTTTTGGTTACTTTCAGTTACCATGGCTATGCTTGCTACGCTTGCCGCCTGGGCTGCCGGCCACGAGAGACTAGGACTGTGCTGTCTGCCGCGGTTGTCCATTTTCGGCTGCCCGCCGCCTAGCCATCATACCTGTTCTGCCGGTCCCAGGTATTGACGATGACTAGGGAGTTTCATTTAATCTTTTCATTTTGCTCTGTCTAGAGCTGGCATCCGTTGTGGCCGTAGGACCGCCCCTGCGGTATCCTCTCGGTCACTAAATACGGATGGAGTGCTCCCACAGGGAGAGTGTCAGATGTCAGATGACACAAGCGACGTGGGTCGCATTTCAAACCAAAGCACTTCAGTACAGACAGTACAGACCTGAATCGATTCGCAGAAAAGGGTAGCAGCAGTCGACATATGTTGATCGAGATTCATCGAATATATATACATATATATACACATATATTCGCTACATGGCTGTCGACCAATCCACGCGTTGATGGGCAGTAGGGTCAATGTAGCCTCCTTTATATTGTTCTTTTTGTTATGTGGTATGAAAAACACTTTGACTGTTTCCTTCAGGAAGAATCATGATTGCTTGAATGCCACATTCGTTGGCCTGGCAACACTGTCATTGGTGTCACTACCACAGTGTTTGTGTCTTCCTGGCATCCTTCTCACAACATCACAATCTTCATTATCGTGAGAGATGACAGAAGCAATCGTTTGGGGTTTGTCGGGCCCCCTGATATCATGCCTCTACTACAAACTGTTTCTTTTGTGAACATTCGATTTTCAAACTCAAGAAGACAAATGAATGGTTTTGGGATGTTGTTGGCCTCCATGCAGAATACCAGCGGCACGGCACGTTGCTGGCATCATATCTTGATGCAAAGTGGCTTATAGACACACCCCATAGGTTTCATGCTTCAATGGGGTGCAAGCTTGGGCCTGCGCGTTTGCACTTTTGTGTCCTTGTCTTTGGTTAAGTTCAGTGGCCCAGGTGTCAGACGCGAACGTACGAAGCCAGACGACATCCTTTTGATCCAGACCTGTTTCCTTTTGATTCCCCAGTGGCAGTGGGTTCCTTTCCGGCCGAGCTTCAGGATATCTAACCGCGCCAGCAGCAACAGTGAACCGTTGATTGAGTCACGGAGCGCCGTTGTATGGAGTCGCGGCCGGCAGGCGCGTTAGATGTGTGACCGCTGATTCATGGATGTGAACCGATTTCTTCACAGAAGTGGACGTGGTCTCAACAAGATTGGTTTCTTGGGGCCAAGAAGCACCTAGGAACAAGGACGCTATTAGGTGGAGGCCATCCCAAGTAGGTTGGAGTAGGAGCAAGGACGCTACTAGTAAGCTATATATCGACCTTCCTTTTGAGATTGGCCGCGGTGGTGTCGTGATGTTTGAACGTGAGTCGGGAAGGTTTGGCTCACAAAGCCAACACTTTTAGAGTCCAGATTTGCTCTCAAACATTCTCAACACCAGGAAAGAACAGGGGACCCCTCTCTCAGGGCCATGTTTATTGGATGAATTAGGCAGGAAAATCCTGAAGCCAACGCAATTGGCAGAATGAATGATTCTTGTGAATTTAGTGCAAATTAGCGGCAATCCCCTCGCCTTTCTAGACAAGTGGTCACCAAAATGCACCGGCTGCTTTCTTGTTTTCTGTAGGTCGGCGCGAGAATTTGAGAAGACGCCTGATGCCCTTTCTCAAATTGGGTCGACCTGTGAACAACAGATTTTCCCACTGAGTAACTCTGGAACTTCCGGATATATGGCCTTCAGATGTTTCCTCAGCTTCCGGGGCATCACTCTTTCCGTGGGGCCAATGCGCCCGCTGATCAAAGAACAAATTAGTTTTGAGCGAAGAGGGGGTGTCGAGTTCTCGAGCAACGGGCCAAGTAGAATAACATTATCATCCATTCAAGAGCACCCGGCTTTTGCCGGCCCAGTTGAAGACACCTCACTTCCACATTTCGTCTCTGAACCATTCCGCAAAAAATCTCCCATCGTCCTTTCCATCGTGGCAGGGCAGTTGTTTTTCCTGGCGAGGGTCTACTGCTAGGGTGCTCAGGTTGCTCGGAGATAGCCAAGCTTCCTGCAGAGAGCCCAGCTCCATGGAACCCTCATGAGCCATCAGAGTGATCGCGCCAGCATGGAGTGCAAGGGCGCGCTGAAGGGTGACTTGCCAGGGAAGAATGCGGTTCACAATGCCAACCTGTTTCTGTTCTATGTGGGAAATACTAGCTGCTAGCGAGCCAGGCTTGAGGTCGATTGGAGGATCTCGACCTGGTCACAACGTGTCGCAGCCTCCCAAAGTCAAAGACGATTTCACCGCATGGGAGCCGTTAAAGTATGCTTCAGTAGGCTGCCCATTTGCGGGTCATTCATCCTCTGAGTTGCCCTGCAGAGACGATCACTCTCGTTCAGACTCCTGCCTTGCTTATACCGTCACCCCGAAAGGCTTTCGGGCTGGACGGATAGAGCGGATTTATGGCCATGAAAGCCGGTCGTGGGAATCTCTGCTTGTTCCACAACGCCCTTGAACAGCGAGTCAAAGCCAAAGCCGAGATTGTCCACCCCAAGCTGTTGAAAACCATGAGAGTTGTTGGTGAAAATGCATCACACTGATAAGTTGGGGTCTTAAAGCCGGATTCATTCTTCGATCCAGAGTTAGATCTGTCTCGAAACACGAGATCAAAAAGGATCGCGGTGATCAAGCTTCTGACACTCTTTTTGCACAACTCTTCTTCTGGCCTAGCATGTCAGTTGTGTCTTCGATTCTATTGTTCTTTGACAAGAACCCTTTTTCAACGGCATCTATTCCAGCAACCAGAATGTGTCTTCAGAATGCGGAAGATCGGTCAAGTCGAAGTGGCGAACATGCAGCTTGTGAATCATGGCATCGAAAAGCAAACATTGAGTGGATGGCATGGCCCCTTGGAGGACTACTTTCTTTTACACCTCCATGTGATGTGTTCGTCAGAGTGTCTTCACCGTCTCGCACCGTCTCGCACGGATCGAACCTCGCCGCTGCGGCTCGAGCCGGACTCGCAAAGCCTGACTCGCTTTGGAGGCACTTTCAGCCAAAGGACGCTAAAGGACGCTGAGGTCGAAAAGAAGGTGAAGCTAGGATAAGCTGATGAACCAGAACCCCCGAGGTGAAGCACACTTCTGTCCAAATACTAAATGTGTTTTTTTCTTGCATTCTGATTCTTTTCGGATCCATGGCTTTGGACGACCGATGACCTGCTCCGAGCTCGCCCGTCCGATGGCCCAGCACCGGGCTTCGGTGGCTGTAAAGAGCCGTGGGTGGCTGTTGCGGTCGGCCGGTTGGTCGGTTTGGCAAATCGTTTGCTGCGCGTTTTGGATCAAACAAGCTGAGACCATCATATGCATGAACTCTCCACAGTCCATATGCCCTGTACGTGGCCCTTATTTTCCCGAAGCAGGAGGTGGGGTCAAGCATCATTCACTGGGCCCGCAATGAAAAACCTAGTGCGACGCCTCCACACTCCACACCTGAGCCAAGGCTCATCATAGCACCACCGCTTGAGCGGTACTGAGTGTCAACTCTCAGGAAAGAATAGGCACCCTCGGCACTCTTTGGCAGTCTCAGTGGCTCACCATTTCTTTTTGCCAGCTCTCAGCTGTTTCTCGGGCCAGCCATACAAGAAGCGAGTGGGGCGAGCCATGCCCAGAGGGCTCTGGCGCTGGGGCCGCTGGGATGCTCATGAGGCATAATAGAATGGCTGGGGCGGAGCATCAAACATATCGCGAAAACCTGGAAAACTTCCAAGTTCATCCAAGTTTCTTTCCGTGCCTTTACATGACATATGAATAAAAGGACATATTTTTGAAGAGACAAAGTCCCAATGAACTACAGGCCTTTCTCAGAAAGAGCTTTTGCAAGACTTGATGTCACTCCAGACTTGTGAGCATATGAGTTTGGGTTCGATGCAGGCAGTGCCAGCGCCTGATCAACGCGATTTCCAGCATGCATTGCATGGGTCTCTGGTCTTGGTGCCCAGTGGGCGAGCAGAAAAGCACGCCGCTCGGTGAGCAGAGGAGCTTAATAGCGATGGCCTCCGACCTAGTAGCTTCTTGTTCCTAGTAGTAAGGCCAGGAGCTACTAGTAGCTTCTTGCTCCTAGTAGCGATGCCCTTTGTTACTAGTAGCGATGGCCTCCGACCTATCATGGGATTCTGACAGTTGCCCGTTTTTCAGTTTTTGATGTAGGTGCTGTAGGTTGCCCTCACCAGACCAATTCTCTCATTGTGACTCGATCTTGTTGCTTAATCAAAGATCGTCCACCTGTGACTATCCACTACTTATATATATATATATCTATCACTTATCAGTCAAAAGCGGTGAGATGCACACTGTCGTTGGCAGTGCTTGGTGCTCTTCATTTTTGTTTGCTGCACACATGCAACAGACGACACTGAAGGAACAAGACACAACAAGACAAGCTCTTGGTTTTTAGCACAAACCCCAAAACTACAAGTGGACCCTTTTAGTGTCAAAGACCAGAGTACACACATCCTGGTCGCATCCTGTGTATTTTCCTTAGGATCTACCCTGACTTCTTTAGACGAAACCACAGACCCAATTCATTTATCTTAGTTTTTGGTCCGAAAGCTATACATTTGTGTTTGAGGCCTAGTGGCCTAGTTTTATCCAATTATATGCTGCAGTGTTTCACAATATCTTGTCTCACAGGGCTGATCCTCTTGCAGTCCTCAGCCAAATTTCTGTCGGCTTGACTTTGTTTGTTTGGAGGCAGACGTTTGTATCGGCTTGGTAGCCGTCATCTATCTGCACATATTTGTATATTTTGATTTCAATACCGGACAGTTGCGCAAGACAACTTTACCTAAAGAGCATGTGGCTGGATGTCGTGACGCACGATGATTTGGTGGATGAAGGAACACAAAACACCCCAACCAGCTGCAAAACTAGACAATTTGTGAAGAGAACCAGGTGTTGAAGTTAGACCATCCAAGAAATCTGGTCACCAGGCCTCCCTGTTCTTTTCTCAGGCCTCTCTAGCAGCCTTTCTTGGCGCTCAGGCCGGGGGGTGCTGATCGGGTGAAAGTGGAGATGCAAGGGATCCATCACTTGGTGACCTGTTTTTTTTCATGAAGGATTTGGAAGTAACGCTGGTTTGCGGTGAGCCCGGTGCACGCCGCCCTTTCGCGTTCATGAAGCTCACCAGTGATCGAGTTTCCGATACTCCGGGCTCTTGAGCGTTGGACGGTGTAGTGTAAGGCTTTGTGCAGCTTTCGCTTCTTGAACTGGTCGCCCAAGTGTGGTCCTGACTGGTCGCTTTTCTAACTGCTTTCGTTTTCGACTCTTTGCCGCAAATGGCTGCGGTATTCAAGTACTCTAGCACATGCCTAGCCATCACGCGTTCGCCTAGGCAAGGACATGGGACAAATGATGTGACAAAGGTGGCGCGACCATGACTCATTGAGAGTTGGGAAGAAGAGACCTATTTTGGTCGTCCGTGTGGTGCTCGTGGAGGTTTTGGGCCGTTCAATGTCGGCTGGCAATTCTCCAGATCCGCTGGTTGGCTGGCCACTTGGTTGGTGGTTGTTTCTGTTCGGTCGATTGCGAGGCGTGGAGGCCGCGGCTTCCCTCATCCTTCGAAGAGGCCAGCGATGGCACGGTGGAGAACTGAAGTAGACACATCCGTTTCAGACAGGGCCATTTAGTTCAGGGCTTTCCTTTGAGACGTTGGCCTTTTGCCGAATGCCAGCACATGGCAGTGAACATAAAAGAAAAAGGACCTACTGTAAGCCAGACAGTGAATGAGCAGCCTGGCACAGCTGCATACCTTCTGCATGGCAAGACAAGGACAGTTTTCTACTTCGTCAGTCGATGACAAGGTTGTGGATTTTATGGGCCGGACCATGCTGAACCATTTCTCAGCCGTCATGTGCAGGCGGACTCGTTTGACTGTTCTAAAATCATTTTGGGACAGGTGGAGTACATGAAGGTTGACTGCGACACCGGGAAAGTGAGGCTCGACCTGCAAAGGCTGTTGAACAACGGGGAGACTTTCCACATTTACACAACCCCAAAACATTGATCAACTGAAGACCCTAGAACTACATCGCTGAAGCTACTAGTAACAAGGTGCATCGCTACTAGGAGCAATAAGCTACTACTAGCTACGTGCATGACTACCAGTAGCAAGAAGCTACCTGGGTTTTGTGTCCAGGATGGGTTTGAGACGGTGAAAGAGTTCCAGATCGAACTGCAAGAAGGGTGATTGATGCGACAGATTTTGAAAAGCTCTGATGATGCAATCAGGATCATGGAAGTGAATGGTGACCTGAATGGTGCTGTGTGAAGGCTCCTTTTTCTAAGGAAAGGCTTCCTCTATGGTCCACGTGGTCCTCCTGTGACCGATCCCAGCATGCTGCCATATGGGCAATTGCCCGGCTGCTTACCAGGCATGGATGGGATGTGACGGACGGATTTGGTTCGGTTGGACGGAGTCATGTCATCTGAGAAATACTACTAGTAGCTTCTTGTTACTAGAAACAAGAATGCTCCTAGTAGCGATGCCAGGAGCCCCTAGTAGCGTCCTTGCTCCTAGTAGTAAGGCCAGGAGCCCCTAGTAGCGTCCTTGCTCCTAAGATGAAAATGATATTCTTTTTTTTACCTTTTCACCGCTGAGGAGTGAGGTTGTGAAGTTCCATACTACTTAGACTGGGAACATCATGTGTTCTTTGGATGTCTCGTTCATTTCGTTCCCTTTCTTCTTCAGGCGAAAAGCCGGAGTGCGAGCCGGACGACGACAATCCATTTTGTCAAGAGCCGCCTCCGCCTCCCCCTTCGCCTCCGCCTGCGGATGGTTCCGCCGGCCCAGTCGCAGGGTTCACAGGCGGGTTGGGAAGAAACATGAGAAGGCTGGGTGTGGCATACCTGAGCCTTAGATCGTTCGGTTTGCACTCAGGTTCCGGAGTCCTCCATACTATGAGGACATTTGAAGATAGGATAATCATATTTTTGAGCCTCTTAGTCTTATTATTAGATTCTTTGTTCAATGGGGTGCAACATTTGATTGTTTCTGGTGTCGCTTTGGGCCACCAAGTTCTCATGGTTTCGAGAGACACTCCCTGCTCCAAGGAGCTGCTGGAGCATTTGGTACACCCGAAGAGCCGAACGCTGCCGAACCGGCTGCCGAAGGAGCTGAGGCTGTAGACGCGGATGCCCCACCAGACCAGCCGGCAGAGCCGCCGGTGCAGCCGCCGGGGCAGCCGCTGGGGCAGCCGGGGCAGCCGCAGGCGCAGCCGCAGGCTCCTGCTGCCCCTCTGCTAAGTGGACCTCCTTTGCCTGCTTTGCCACCCTTGCCACGAAAGAAGTGCATCCCGGGCGAGGACAGAAGCGAACAGATCGTTTTAAAAGGCTTGCATGGGTTCTGGTGATGGGTGTGTTTTTGTGTTCCCACTCTATTCGTTGTTTTCCCTATTCGTTGGCTTGGGCAAGACAAAGCGCCAGGAGATTCCGACACCCATGGAGCCTTGTCAGATCAAGCAAGGCCTTTGCTGCCACAAATGCAGGAGCAGAGCAGACTGCAAACTGTGCTTGGAATGGAAGGACCGCAGACTTGATGAGCCATGGTCAAAGAGTGCAGTCCTTGATTGGAATTGATAAGTTGGACTCATGTATATACATGATATTCCACAGGTCTCCTATGCGGGGAGAGGCTTTGCTCACCCCTGAAGTTTCGCTGTCAGGGGTGCTGACTGACTGAGTTGGGTGAAGCCATGCAATTCAGCTGCTGAAATGCATGGCTTCACCACCATGCTTCAACAGTTGTTACTCTCTGGCGATGCAATGGATCGTTTCACAACAGTTGTCCCCAGGTTTTCTTTGGTCTGGACGGCCAGGCAATGGCGACACTCTAGGACTCTAGATCCGTTTTGAGCTTTGGCATACTTGGCTGACCAGAAGGGAAGGACTGACTGAAGGCTACTTATAGCAGCCAATTCGATGACCCGGTTGCAGTCCTTGCTGAAGCCCACAGCTCGCTCGGTTGGAGTCGATCCGGAGCCAGACGCGCCAGGAGGTGCTTGGGCAGATCCCCGTCGATATCGATCGGAAGGCACGGTCCGCGTCGATTGGACCAGCAGGGTGAGCTGGTCTTTCAGATCTTAAATGGTAGAGAGAGCTACCAACTGCTACCAACGTGCCTGGGAGGTGACAACTGTATTGAGCATACTCCAAGTAAGAAGGTAAGAAGATCGCAAGATTCTTGAAATCTGCCAGATTCTTTGTACTCCCAATGACCATGCCAAGAACAGCTTGCATAGTTGAGCTATGACACCCTATACCATTCTTGGGTTCGCCTGTTGCAAGACCTGAGAATGTGTCGGCCCCTTTGTGTGGGCCCGTCGTGTCAATCCTATTTTCATGAAACACTCCTCCGAGCCGATTGTGTGGGGTCCAACTAAAATAGTCTTCCAAGCGCTGCCCTGCACACCATGTCTTTTAACCTACAGCGATGGCCTCCAACCTAGAAGCGATGGCCTCCAGCCTAATAGCGATGGCCTCCAACCTACTAGCGATGGCCTTCAACCTACTAGCGATGGCCTCCTCCAACCTACTAGCGATGGCCTGCAACCTACTAGCGATGTCCTCGAACCTACTACCGATGGCCTCCAACCTACTAGGGCCTCCAACCTAATAGCGATGGCGC